CTTTATCTATCATATCAAGTATTTCTTCATCCTCACTTTCATTTATTATTTCTCGAATAATTCGTGATAATCGAACTCCATCAACTTCATTTCTTTTACATATCATTGACATACCACTCTTTAAACATTTGATTCCATATGTTTTATATCCATTTTCAATACAACTCATCCCAACCATTTCAAGTACTGAACTATTTGTTCCTGTTCTAAGTAATTTTGTAATTGCTTCATCTATTCCTTCTTCTTTGATAATACATATTTTTACTTCAACTGTGATTAACAATTCTTCTTTCTGAAAAAGTAAATTATTTTTATTTTATTATTTCATCATTAAATATTGAATATTAATATGTTTAATAACATATTCATTGTTTAATTTCATTTATTTTTCAAATATATCAAATATTATATTTATAAATTTAATAATAATGATGTTATTGAATCATATAATATTTATTATATATTTATTATATATTTAATATTATATCATTCATATAATTTATTTAAATATATTCATGATTTAGATTTATTGAATATTTTATATAAATATATAAAATGAATGTACATAAATATTTATATATTATTATAAATAATGAATGAATATATAAATTATAATTGAATAAATTATTTTTATTTTTATTATTTATTTATTTTAAAATAAAATGAATGAGATAGAATATGAAATATTATTTATTATCATTATGAACATATGTTATTGTATTATTATTATTGATTTAGAGATATTTTATGTAGACTAATATATTAATTCAATATTAATCATTTATATTTGTTATTATTATTTATTTATTTATTATTTTGATTTCATTCTCATGTTATCTCTTATTTATTATTTTAATATTATTATTCTTTATATTCATTATCTTATTTTCATTATATGATTATATTATTTATTATTCTGATATATTATTTTATATATTTTCTTTCTTTATTATTATATTTATCATTTTGATTATTGAATATTTCAATATGTACATAATATACAATACAAATACAAATAAATGAAATATTTCAACATTTAATGAATGATTAGATGATATTAATCAATAAGAATTATTTATTTGTATCATAAACAATCAATATAATGAAATCATCAATAAAATAATAATAATAAAATGAAATGAAATATGAAAATTAACAACAATAATCAATAATCAACAATTTGATTAATGAAATAATCAAAATATAAAATCAAATTCAATATTATATTCTCTCATTTCTAAATATTTTTAATATTAATTAAAACAAAATGAAGAATAAAGAATGAATAAATATAAAATATAAATCAAATAAATAAATAAGAAGATAAATAAGATAAAATATATAATAAATAATAAATAAGATAAAATAAATAATAAATAATAAAATAAAAGATATAAAATAAAAAAGAAAGATAAGAATAAGAATATTAAAATAAGAATAAAAAGAAATAAAGAATAAAAAAAATTATAAAACAAATATAAAGAATGATATATCAAACAATAATAGAAATGGTTAAAACGAGAACAAATATAAATACTAATTAGTTGAATTGTTATTGAATGTTAAAAGAATAAATAATTACTGGTGTTACATTATTCATAACAATACACTTAGATATAAATTATTTCTTTTTGATAAGAGTGTTGATTATTTCTTTAATTAATTACTAAAAACGTACTGTTAGAAACATAATAACTACTCATTATATCATAAACATAATATGAACCATTTATTTACAAGTAAGTAAAGAATATTATTGTTATTTCTATAACACTTTTCATAAGATAAAATGCAAAGTAATAAAATTAATGATGAAATAAAAATATGAAGGGTAGTTATTTATTTTATGTATTTGATAGTTGAAAATTATCATCAAAAGAAAGACTTTCTAAAAGCGTTTCTTATTTATTCTCTTAAAAAAAATGATGAAATTATTTCATTTGAAATGAAAAGATATCTTATATATAGCAATTTATTCATGAAAACTTTAAAACTAATGTTTTGATTAAGAATAAAATAAATGCTATAGGAAATTTTATATAAGCAAACTCTAATAAATTAAATACATATTGTAGAACTTTAAAAATATTTTTAAGGCTTTTAGCAATACGTTATACTGAGTTATTAAAAGGATGCATTAAATGAAGATATTTTACCCTATCTATTATCCTCAATATCTCTTCTTTATAGTTAAAATGAAATGAGTCAATTGATTGAAGATAACACCACTAACACAATTTATTTGGTTAATAGTTTCCACTACTTTTTGAAATATTTAGGAGTTTCAGTAATTCTTTCTTTAACAATTTCAAAGTATTCTTGTTGTTCCTCTAATAGAGAAACCAATGAATTTAAACCTGTTATAATTAACAACGTTGAGGTGATAGATTCATTCAAAGAAGTTGACTTTATTTACACTATCAACCGTTATTTTTATTACCCACTTTGGTGATTGCAGTTGTCATGTAAATATGTGTTATTTCTTCAATCAATTTGAAAGGAAACACTATGGTACAATGTTATATGTAATGAAGATAAAAAGGAAGTAAATTTTTAGGAAAATTACAAACCCAAACAATATACTAAAAAGTCTTTAAACAAACTCTTTTTGCTCATTCAATTAACTATTAATTAAAAAATAAATAAACAATAAAGTAACAAAATAGAAAATGATAACGTATTAATTAATCAATGAAGAAATAAAATTGTTAAACTAAATAATGGTACTTTAACATAACATGAATTAAGAGAATTTAATTAAATTAAACAATTATAAGAATTAAAATTGAATTGATATTTTATAATAAATAATTATTTACATTTCTGTGATTATTAAAATTAACCATTTTAACTACTTTCAGTATCATTTATTAATAATATTTAAATGATTTCATTGTTTTATCTCTATCATTTTATTCTCCATAGTAACTTAATATAAATTACTTTTCATAGATAACACATACCTATAACAGTATTACCAAATGCTATAAATTAAATCCTCATTTTTTGACTATCCCTAATATATTTAATATTTATCAATCTTATTGTCTCAATTAATATAATAAGTTTTTTCTAATCCATTGAATATAACTATGATAAAAATATTTATTGTTTTGTTTGAATGGTAATAAATTTCTGAAAATTACTACCTATTATAACATATTATATTCTTAATGGTTAATAAAATGAGACATATGTTTAACTTCTATTGTTTGAATTTTCTTGAAAGTAATTATCAAAATTTCTTTTTACCTTTTACTTCTATTAGTATTAAAGAAATATCAAATGTGAACAAATAAATTAATGAAAGTTTTAGTTAGAAATATGGTAAAACTTATTTCAACAATAGTTAACTAATTATGATATGAAAAAGAAATAATAATAACAAGACAATAAAATAAAATAAAAAGAAAAACAACTCATTTAACAAATTAATTTGATGTTAAAATATAGTTTTCAAACAAATCAATCATTGAAAAATAACAATAATTATAAACCAAAAATTAAATAAAAACAAATTTTTAATAAAAAAATTAAAAAAAAAAATAATACAAAATTAAAAAGAATTAAACAATAGAATTAATTTGAGATAATAATTGTTCACCATTCATTAATTCAGTAGCACCATAAATAATTCTTTTACCATTTCTATCAGCGTATTGTTGAATATTAGAATATTCAGTATAATTACCACCACCAATAACAAAAACAATAGAATCTTTAAATTGAATTGATCTTCTATTATCTAAAATATTAGAAGTTGAAATTTTAGGATCATAATAATTATATTCTGATTCTAATTCACTTTTTTTACATTCAGTTATTGTATCTACTAATACAGTAACTGCCATATTTTTATCAGATGGTAATAATCTTTCAACAACTTTACCAAACATATCACTCATCATTCCAGCAAATCCAATTTCTTTTTTCTTTTCTTTTGTTAATCTTAAATATTCTTGTGTTTGTTTTAATTTTTTCATATAATTTAATGCTTTTAATGAAATATTTTTTTGTTCAAGTACTTTTTGTAATAAATTACTTTCATTTGAATTTAATAAATAAATATAGAATAAACGAATTAAATCATTTTCATTTTGAATTCTTTCAATAAATAAATTTAATGCATTTAGATCAACTGTTATTTGTGACATAACATTATCTTCATAAGAAAATAATAAATCAATTTCTCTTTTTTTAATATTTTCAATAATTTCTCTTGCAATTATTGTATGAAGATCAATATCTTTTTTTAATTGTCTTATTTCTGTCATTTTTTCTCCATATTTCATCATTCCTTCACTTTGAAGTACTTTTTTTTCTTCTTCATTTAAATTTACTTCTACATTTTCATCAAAATTAATACCAAAACTATTTGCTACTACTTGAAATTTTTCTTTTTCTGTTATTAATTCTTTCGTTTTGTTTTGAATAATATCTGTTACATCTGGAATAATTCCATTTTTACATTCTTTCCAAAAATCACTTGTTATATCAATATCTTCCCAATGATCATTAATTTTTACTCTATTCATTTTATATTCCATTACTTCTTTTATTAATGCTTGATAATTCCATCCATGTAATAATCCTGCTGAAATATCATGATTTCTATTAGTTATTAACATTAATGGACGTGTTGATACTCCTCTTTGAAAGAATGTAGGATTTTGTATATTAAATAAATTTAATTTTTGTGTTAATTCTTTTGCAATAACATCTTCTAAACTACCATTTCTAGCTCTAATAATTGGAATTTCTTTTAATGTAATACAAATACTCATTAATGAATTTGTTATATTGTCAATTAATTTTAATGCATTTTCTTCTTTTATTTGTGGATCATTAAATTTTTGATATGAATTAGATATAGATAATGTAAAAAGTTGTGTTTCTAATACATGATAATTAATATATAAATCTTCTATTTTATATATCATTCTTTCTACTTTATTTTCTAAACAACAATTTGCAAAATATTGAAGTAATTCACTTGAAATTTTTGATGAAAAACAAATAGTAAAATTTAAATACATTCGTGATTTCATATCATTAATAATCTGATCTAAATTTTCTTTTGTTGCTTCTATAAAATAAATAGCTGGAACATCATCTAAAATTTGACGTGGTTGTTTTATATTAAGCATAAGAGTTACTCCATATTTTCTTACATCACCTACTCTTAATTGTAATGAAAGAAGATCACTATTAAATTGATCAAAAATAATAACTTTCCAAAATAATTCTTCTTCATTATTATTTAATATATCATTTTGATTTAATTTAAGCATAGAAGTTAATATATTTTGTTGTTTTCTTTGTAATTCTAAAACTCCTTTATATTCCATTCACAAACTTTTATTTTGATTTTAGTTCATTTTTTATTCTTTTTATTTTTTTTTTTATTCTTTTTAACTTTTTTTTTGTGTAATATATACAGAAACTATGAAATTTCATTAAAGTATTCAATTTCCATTTAATGGTGCATATTCTCCTCCACTTCTTTTTCGTTTTAATAAAGCCAAAACTACACAGATAATACCAATAATAATTAAATATCCTCCAATACTAGAAAAAGTAGCAATAGTAATTGTAGTGTCTTGTTTAATTGCAAAAACACATTGGAATAGAACAACCAAAATTAATGCTTTACAATTCATGTTTTAAATTTGTGTTATTTTAAAGATTTTTCATTTTTTGTTTTTTCTTTATTTATTTGTTATATATAACGAAAAATAACAAATAAACCTCAATATTAAAAAGAACTAAGAACTAGTTTAGATATACTTGTATTATGACTCAAGTTACTGATACTCAAAAATATGATAGACAATTAAGATTATGGGGAGAAATTGCACAAGCAAGACTTGAAAAAAGTAAAGTTTTATCAATTGGAAGTGATTGTGTTGCTAGTGAATTTATGAAATCAATTGTACTTCCAGGAATTGGATTTATAGGAATTGCAGATAAACAAATTGTTAGTGAAAATGATTTAGAAACTAATTTTTTTATTGATTGTGAAAATCTTGGACAAAAAAGAGGAGAATGTATTCTTAATAATTTACTTGAATTGAATGATAGAGTTAAAGGAGAATATTATTTTAAATCATTAAAAGAAATACTTAAAGAAAAATCTTTTATTCAATCATTTGATATTATTGTTTGTAGTAATCAATTACATGAAGATGTTATTTCTCTTTCAATTTTAACAAAAAATCCTATTATTGAAGTTTATACAAATGGATTTATTGGAGTTGTTAAAGTATATGTTGGAAGTCATGTAATTTTTGATGATGGTAATTCTAATATTCCAATGGATTTAAGAGTACCATATCCATTCCCTAAATTACAAGAATTTTATAATTCAATTGATATTCCTAACTTAAATAAAGATAATCATATGCATATTCCTTTTCCATTAATTTTGATTTGGGCATTAAATCAATGGAGAAAAGAAAAAAATCAAACAGGAATTCCTAAATCTAAACAAGATAAAGATATGATTAAAGAAATAATTAGAAAACAAGCATTTAATTTTTATGCTGAAGAAAATTTTCAAGAAGCTCTTCAATTTGTATTTTATTGTTGGCAAGATATTCCTGGTAATGTTAAACAATTATTAAATGATCCAAGAAGTATTTCTTCTTTAACTGGATTAAAGAAAGAAGAAATTGAATTTTGGGGATTTATTGGTGGTGTTAAAATATTTAATGAAAAGAATAAACGTTTACCAGTTGATTCAGGAATTAAAGATATGATTGCAAGTAATGAATATTTTGTTCAACTTCAACATGTATTTGTTTCACAATTAGAAGAAGATGCAAAAGAAGTATTAGAATATATTAAAGAACGAGTTAATAGAGATAATGTTGAAAAAGAAGTTGAATTTACACTTGAAATGGTAAAACGACATTGTAAAGCATTAAGAAAGATGCATGTTATTGATGGAGTTGATGGAAAATATAATTCAAATTGGATTGGACAAGATTATTTGTTAAATACACCACAATCTAGTTTAATGTATTTAGCTATAATTTATGCATCATTTGAATTTGAAAAGATTTACCAAAGATTACCATGTGATAAGCAAGATGTTGATGAATTACTTAAATTAACAAATCAAGTTCTAAAAGAAAAAGGTGTTGAACAAAATGTAGAACGAAATTGTGTTGAACAAATATGTAGATTTGGTGGTGTTCAAATTCATACAGTTAATTCAGTTATTGGATCATTTGTAGGACAAGAAGTAATCAAGTATGCTTCACATCAATTTGGAGCATTAGATAATACTTTTATATTCAACACTGAAACTGGTAGTTCAATCAATGGACGTTTCTAATTTTAAAGATTTTTTTTGAATAAATTTTTTTAATTTTTTTAATTTCAAAAATAAAAATGAAAGATTGTTAAATTATTTTATTTCTTTATTTTTCTTTCTATTCTTTATTTTTATTCAATACCACTCTTTTTCATTTATCTTTTTGTTTTCTAAATTCTTATTATCAAAGTTTTTAACACTACATCAATAACTTTACATTACAAATTGAAATAAGTGTTATTAATTATTCAACCAATAATTAAAATATAACTCAACATGCATTACATTGATTAAACTCCATTTTACACTTAAAATAATAAAATGACAATTTGTGAATTTATATAATTAAAAATAATATTTCAAACTTTATTTCTTTGATATTAAAAACTACAAATAATTTGATAATTATATATAATATTCTTTGATCTTTTATTTTCATTGGTTGAGTTTATTCTTTGGAATAAATCTTGTTTAAACTAAAATAAATTCTATTTTGTTAAAGTGAATTTCTGTGATGATAGTATTTTCCTTTTTGATTAGAATTTATGTTAATGATTCCAATTTAAGTATCATAGTTGTATTTAATATTACTTAGTTTAAATGATCTGAGATACTGGTTGTTAATAGATATTTGGTTTAAGTAAATTATAAAGGATTTTTACTAAGTTAAATAGTTATTGTTAATTAATATTTTACATCAAAATTAATAAAACTCAAATACATGATTAATTAAATAACTCTATTTTCATTATAGATAAATCATAGTAATAATAGTATCATTTAATTGACATTTCTAACACTATTTAGTTGATATAATATTTTCTTCTTTTTGGTTTAGAATTATATTTCTTTTTTACAACTGTTTTGCAGAATATTTATTTTGATGAAATATTTCATTTTTGTTATGTATGATATTCATTATAATGATATGACTATCTTGTTTATTATTCATTGATAATGATAATATTAATTTTCCATTGTATTTATTTCTATTTTTGTTTCTAACATTTGTATTCATTTATTATCAATTGTTAAAGAAGAAGAAATAGAAATAAATTATTTAATATTCGTTGATAATATTATTTATTTTATTCAATTAAAATTGTATTAATACAATTTCATTAATAAACTCTTATTTATCATTTTAATTTATTTAATTCATATTATTGATTTGTATACTATTTGTTACTAACTTGAATAATTATTTACATAATTTAATTGATTATTAAATATCAATATCATCATAATGTTATAGTATTTTTCAATGAGTATATTTGATTATCTCTTCTTTTAATTTGTTATTTACATGTTGAAATATATCAATAATTATTATCTTCTTTTAATTCAAGTCAATTTCTTTATCAGTCATTGTTTCTGGTTATATTTTAATGAATGTTTAACTAATATATTTGATATAATATTCATATTGTTATTGTGTTCATTTCTACTTTTTTGTTTATTTCAAAGTATTATTATATTAATTCAAATAATTTATTTCATCAATTATTTTAATATTACCTCAATTCTTATTTAATAACACATTCTCAAATCTAATAAGACTTTCTACAAAATCATTCAATCCAATTTCTTTTATAAATTTATTTAAATTTAAATGTTTACAATATTTAATTAAGTAAAAACGAACATAAATTTGGATTTATTTTTTAGATGAAACTTATAATTATTTTGTATAAAAACGTTTTTAAATATATAAGTTTCATTTTCCAACTAATAAACTGTTTAACAAAAGACATGAAACTGAGGGTTAGTTACCAATAGATGAGAAAAAGACATATCAATTAATAAAACAATTAAAACATAAACAAAATAAATATTAACAAATTGAAAAAGAAGAAAAGAACGTGAGCAATATATTCAACAATTGAATTAATCTTTTTGTATTATCTGAATGTAATCTATGATTAACATGTCTGTGAAGTAGTTAATGTCAATGAATACTTCTAATCAAAGATTTACTTTATCTTAAAGAAAAGAGAATAGTTGTAGAAGTATGTCTTCTGAATAAACAATAATAACTCCATTTTATTCAAATTTTTATTGCTTTACATAATTTCACGTTTAAAACTGAAACAAACAAAAACTAATAGATTCAATTGCACATTTCATTGTTATTTAAACGGTCATTTAGATTCTTTAATATATTAAGAAGGCTCTAACAATTTCAATTTTATATTATCATTAACACATCCATTTCTTTGTATTCTCATTTTCATACCATGGCTATACAGAATTAAACAAATTAAAGCAATACCTTTTTATTCTAATAAAAATAAAATAAATGTTTTGAAAAGTAATTAACTATAATTTCATTGAAACTACTTATCTATTCCCAAGTGACAATTTACCCAAAGAGACCAATGAACATATCACAAATGAATTCTGAAAACATTAGTATTCCATTTGTTATTTTATCTATAAATCCTGGTTTGGGTTGATACTGTTCTATAATTTCATTGTTTTTACATCTACAACTTCACATTATTTATAATTAATTTCTCCATTAAAACTAATTCTTGTATATCTTTTCATATGTTTGACTTGTGTCACTATATCATTGTCATTATTTTCTATGGACTCTTTGTCCTTTTTCTTCTATGATTGACGCTTTGTATTTATCAACAGTTTCTACATTAATAGGAGTTAAATCTTAATGTTTCTATTTTATTCTCTGATCTGGTGTTTTCATCTTCTTCATCTGTTTGAGAACCAACATAAAATAAGGCAAGTTAGTGCTTTTATTTCTTGTTGTTTGTTGGGTAAGTTTTATTAGTTGTTGGATTTTCTCTTTTTTAGTTTCCTTTTGGTTTTCATTGTTTATCTGATATATAACAATAGCATTTATCCCATACAAAACAAAGATGAGTGGAAAACCATTACATAATATTTTAATCGTTGTTTTTAAGTTGTTTGAAATTGTATTATTGTTATAGTTTAGAATATAACAATTGCTTGTATTCCTTCTTGTTCTTTACCAAAATTAATCATATTATTAAAATACTTTTCATTTAACTTGTTTAATTCTTGGATACCAGGTGTATCAATAACAATATATAACTTCTGCCATCTTCTCCGACTTCTCCATGTGTTTCTTTTGTTTCAGGATTTGGACTATGACTTACTTTAAACACAGTTTTCCTTAAAATACAATTAACCACAACTTTTTTAAATTCCTTTATTTAGTAACACAGTTTTCACTTTCTTTGTTTCGATTGTTATCATTTTATGTTTCTAACTTATGGTAATCGTTTAAATATCTTCAGATATGTATGAAATGATATTTATCTGTAAAACATAATTTTCAAAACGGAATTAGTAACCGAATAAATTATTTATTATTACTATAAACCGTAATTTATTTTATTTTTAGTTCATTTATTTTAAATTAGAAATAAATTGATTTATGTTTAACAATTTGATAATAAAACAATACACAACTTATTTTTGAATTGTAGAGAATTAAGAATAAACATCACTAATGAATAATTTATATGTTTATTTATTTAACATATGAGAAAGAAATAATAGTTGTTCTTCATTCTATCTTTATTATGATAAATCTACTTGATTCATTTACATTTATTCTTGAGGAAAGATAATTCCTATTTTATTTTAAACAATTAAAACATTAAAAGATAACTTCAACTCTTTCTTATTATAACATCATTAAGTTTATAATTAAACATAATATATTCTATCAATTTTATTGTTCATTAAAACATTAATTTATATGACAAATGAAAGTATAAAACAAAGATAGAGTATTAATGAGAATAGGTTATTTATTTAGTTTCAATAGAATTAGAATATTTCATTGATTTATTTATTATTTATGATTAAAACAAATAAGATAAATAATTATTTGTGAGTTAAATTAAAAGTCTTTCTTCTCATTTATGAACATTTTACTCTATAAAAATAAACAAAACAACTCAAAAATCAATTATTTGATATGACAAATTACCAATTTGAGTATTATTAATAATACTAATATTCATTTATGAATTATTCATATTTTTGATAATAACATCAGTACATTGTTTGTATTATTTGATTTAAAATTATTTGTCATTTTCATAATTTTTCACTTTCTGTTTTATGACATTTCATCATTTATTTTGAACTACATAAAATATTCTGATATGACTTTTCTCTATCCTTTATTTTGATTACAATCTTTCATGTTTATTCATTATATTAATATCTAATGATCAAGAGACAACAAATTAATCAAAGTTATAATGATTATTAATAATATAAGAATTAAATGGGAAATATAAGAATAAGAAAATAAAAAACATAAATAAGAAAATGAACAAAGGAAATAAAGAAAGTGATTGAAATAAATAGAAATAAAAGAAGAAGATATTAATAAAGAGAGGAGGAGAAATTATAAGAATTAGGATTTATACAAATATCAAAGTTTTATATAATAAAATAATTATAAATGATGAGAAAATAAAACAAACAGAATTAATAGAAAGTATTGAATTGAAATCAAATGAATTATATAACAAAATAAAAATTAGTCGTAAATATTTGAAAGATAAAAATGATGGATAAATAGAAATAGAAATATGTAATAAAGAAATAAATAGATGAAAGAAGAAATGATAGAAAAATATCACAACAGAAAAAGGAAGAAGAATAAAATCAAAGTATTGAAAGAATTTGTAATAAATAATAAAATATATAAATAATATACAATGATACAAGAAAATGAATTATCAAATATATAAAAATGATAGTAAAATGAAATGCATATATTATAATCAATTTACAAGACAAATAAAGTTACTTGATGAATCTGAGAAAATTACAAATGAAATATTAGAAATACATGATATAGTTGACAGAACAATATATAAAAATTTCATAGAGAACAAACTAGATAATAAACGTATAAATGAAAAGGATTTTGAGAAACAAGTAAGCAAATAATATAAATATATAAGAATAGATTAAAGAAAAGAATATAAAACAGACATATCAAAATATAATGCATTCGTGTTATCTCCAATACATTCAAAAACAAGTGGAATAGAAAAATAATTATAATAGAAGAAGGAAGAGAAAACAAAGAATTGACACAATTTGAAACAGGATAACTATGAAGAAGAACAATAAACTCTTCTTAATTATTATAAATTGAATATTATTAATTTAAAATCAGATAAATTGATTTGATAAACAAAATGAGTACGAGTTATTTTATTTATTATTACTTCATGAAATTGAAGAGAGAAAAAATCTATTATTAAAATTAACATTTGTTTTTATGTATTCTGTCATTTGAATTTTCAATGGATAAAGAAAAATGATAAAGAGAAGAAAAACTTTTGTTGCTGAAATAAAATACAGTTTTAACCAATAAATAAAGATAAATTTAATTTTATAAAAAGTTGATAACGAGGTGTTAATAGTTTTATTTTCTATTGTTCATTACTCAAGGGAGATTAAATAATCACTTTGATTTAAGAGTGTTTGTTCATCATTTATTAGTTTATTCTTTGATTTTAGTTGTTGAATTATGATAATTTCATTTTCTTGTTTTTTGATGTTGAATAGAGTATTTTAAATATCCCTTACTTAAATATTCATTATTTATTTTCTTTTTGATTTTAATGAGTATTAAAATTCTTCTTTATTTTCTTATTTTAAGGAGAGTATATAATTACTACTGTATTGCTTCGTGCTATACTCTTTTTAGAATCAGCCACCAAACACTTTTTCTTTGATAATCTTATATTATCATTTATAGTTGTATTCTAACAAGCAATAACACCATCTTTATAAATACCCATTCTTTTATTATCAATGATATCCGATCATTGTACATAATAAACACTGTTATTCTTGTAGTATTGATTATGATGTTTTTCTAACTAAATACAATATCATAACCAATCCATAACTGGGTGATTTGAATGATGGTAATATTTTAGGGAACTGTGTGGTGTCTCTGACATGCTACCTTCAAATCTAAAAAGAGTTTTGAGTTTAAATTAGAACTAATAATATTAAATTTATCTTTTCCTTTTTATAATGTTTGTAAGAAAAGTTACATAACAATTTTTGTTCATTAAGAACTGTAAATGTTGTGTTATTTTATTTCTTACTGAAAAATAAACTTCATTTACGATATATTTTTACATAAGGAATAAAAATAAATAAACATCAATAAATTAGCTAATCTTTTTTCAATAAAACAACAAACCTCATTTCATATACATATCTGAGGATATTTAAACAAGTCAAAACTAATTGATAAACATAAATGAGTTTACAAGAAAGAAAACAAACAAAATTACTTTTGATTGGAAATACAGGTGTTGGTAAAAGTGCATTGGGTAATTTTATTCTTAATAAGAATGAATTTGTATCAAGTGATAGTGCAAATTCATGTACACAAATAATTCAAGGTGGTTGTGGAGATAATGATAGAAGTGATATCTGTGTTATTGATACACCTGGATTTCAAGATTCAGATGGTAGAGATGGTGAACATCTAACAAAACTTATTCAATGTATTAACAAAGAAAATGAGTTTCATTCTGTTGGAATTGTATTAGATATTAATGATAAAAGACTTTCATCTAGTATCAAAAAATTAATTAAAACAATATACAGTATGTTTAAAATAGAAGATTTCTGGAAACATGTTTGCATTATTTGGACAAAATGCTATTATTATACACCTGAAGAACAAGTAGAACAGTTCAAAAAAGAAAAAAATAAATTTAAAGAAGAACTAATCAAATTTGTAACACAGGAAGAAGGCAAAGATAACAACATAGAGGAAAGTATTGATTTTCCAATGTATTTTATAGATTCAAAACCACTTGAAAATCATGATAATACAAGATCAGAAAATGAAATAAAGTCATTAATTGAATGGTCAAGAGAATTAAAACAAAATCCATTTTGTTTTGAGAATCTTAGTGAATACAAAGAAATAACTTATGAAAAAAATGAAAGTATTACAAGAACAGAAGAAAAAAATATAGCAACATATACAACAACAATATGGAGAAGAGATGTAAAGGAAATGCATAATGGAGAAAAAATTATTGGTCCTTGGTATGTGTTTGATATTTAAATTAAAACAGAAAAACTATACAATAAAGAAGAAGAAGAAAAAAAATTCAAGATGCACTTCAAGCAGAAAATTTAAGAAGGAAAGAAAAAAGAAAGAACATACTGAAGGCAATAGGTTTAGGTGGTCTTGCAGTTGGTGCAACCGTTGCAACAATTCTAAGTGGAGGTGTTGTTGGTGCTTGTGCTGTTGGTGCTGTTGCTGAAGCAACTGTCACTGGAGTTGCAACTGCTACTGCCTTTGGTAGTGCTGCAGTTGTTGGTACGGGTGTTTCTATGGCTGGTGGTGTTGCTACTATTGGTAGTACTATTGCTTGTGCAGAAAAAATTGATGAAATTAAATCATCTGATAGAAACATTACTAAGGAAAAAGTGCAGTAATAAAACAAACAATACAGATAATTGAAAATTAATTTAACAATATAAATGATTTATTTTTAAATTAATAATAGAATAGATGATAATGATTATTCAAAATTAATAATTTGTTTTAATTATGTTTAAGAAAGAAATAGTATCAAAAGATAATAAAATAGTGTTAAGTGATGATGAATTTATTGTAGTTTTATGAATATATAATTCAAATCAAATAACTTAATTCTTTTATCTCATTTTCAAATTTCATTATTTTTATACTCTATTACATATTGTTAATGTACTGTTAATGATATGATTTTGTTCTAATGTAATAAGATGGTTATTTAAGATACTATTTAATAATTTGTTCATAATAACATTAAATTATAAAAGGTATTTCTTTCTTTATTGATTGATAATTAAATTAATAAGAAAATCAGTGATAATATCAAATGCATTAATTGTTGAACAGTTTTAGAAATAGAACACAATGTATTAAATTATGAATATTTAATAACAAGGAATGGAATTTAATTAATTTGAGATATTTAACAATGAACATGAATAATAAAATATCACACAAGAATTTTAATCATAATATAAAGAATAAAAGAATGACAAATAAAATAAAGAAAGAATATTAATTATAACTAATAAAAAATGATAATATGAAAGAATGATGAATACAGATAAAGAATAAATAAAAATATAAAAATGAAAGAAAAGAGAATAATGAATACATCAAGTGAAAATAATAAGATGATAATTCAAAACTGATAAAAAATAAAAACAATAAAAATGAGAAATAATAGATACACCATCAATTGATTTTATGATTAAGAAGTGATTATTTCAGTGACTTGTAGTTTTGTTAACCATTAAAAAATTAAACCAAATATATTGAGTATTTATTTAATTGAAAAACCAATACTCTAAATTAAAAACATTGAAACTCGAATTAAAATAACAGAAATAGTAAGATCTGATAACGGAATAATGAAATGATGATAACATTAATAGTGTTTTGATGATATAAAATAAAGTACTGTTATTACAAATAAGGAATATCACAAAGAATTGATAAAACTA